GAGCCTTTGACTGCTCATTAATGAGCAGTTTACATCAGTCATGTACAGCGAGGCCCCACCTTTAATTTCATGCTGCTCGGCCCTCAGAAAGACAGAGGACAAAAGAACGAGAGATTGATGTCTACATGTGCCGCCCCGCGCAGGAGCCCAGCGCCGCAGATAGGGGGCGTCGGAGCGAGTGCGTCCTCCCATCAACCAGCCAATACACTCCAATTAAAAGCAGCACAAGTTATGTCACGAGCTCCGTAGATCAAGTCAGTAATTAACCCGCCCGTCGGCCCCTATCAATCCTGAGATTGGAACGGCCGCCATTTTCCCACAAATTAAATTTACATTCTATTAAGTTTAATTAGGAGGGATTTTAAATATACTGGAGTCCAGGCACACGGCCGCGCCACTGTCACCACACAAACTGACTCACTACCGGCAGAGCCCTGAGGTCCCATCACATCCCAGCATGCACTTCTGTGCAACAGCGGGGTCGAACGGAGCCCACGGCACACAGGTGGTCACATGTGACACGGATTTCAGCATATTCTCATACTTTCATTTTCTCTGACATTAAAATATGAATCCTGAGACTCTTTAACCTTAGTTTCAACCTCATCAAAAGAAAATACACTGCAAAAAACAAACAAAACACTCGTTTTCTTTATACCTTGAGTATAGGTTAAGTATAAATCGATATTTAATATACATTTGAGTAAGTACTGTATAGTATCTTTAAAATGTTTTAAACTATAACATGTAGAAATAAATATATAGTTAAACTATAAATAAATATATACTTAAAATATGATATATAGTATAGTGTATATAGTATGTTCAAGGATATATTTATACCAGTTTATTTTTAAAGATAGTGTAACTATATATTGATTTATACATTCTAAAATAAAAAACATACTTAAATATACTATACATAAAAATATTTTAAGTATAAAATAGTTTGATGAAAAAAGTATAAATATATAACTATATACCTAAAATATCAAGAGTATAAACAAATATAAATATGTATTTAATATATAAGTATGTACAGTATTGTTAAGTATAAAATGTATACATTTATAGTTAAACTACCTTTAAGTATAAACTAGTATAAATATATGCATTTTTATAAGATATTTTAGGAATATATTTATACTTTTATAATTATTATATTTTTATACTTAAAGGTGCTATATATACACTAAGATGTTTAAAGTATAAAATATAAAATATCTTAAAAAGTATACTATCTTTAAGTATAAATATATAAATACATGTAGTGTCTTTAAGTATAAAATATCTTTAAACAAGTGAAAGAATCAGTCAGAAAAAATACATTCGTATTAAAGTCTGAATATCTTATTCAGTGTTGCTACTACATACTACGTATTTAGATATTTGCATTATTAAATATGGTGCACAAGCAGAAGCACAATCATTGTAGAGTTTCATCAGATGCACATTTAAATAAACTGGTGTGAATTAGTGTGCACTAGTGTAAATCAATCTCTAGTTAAACTGCAGGGAAAAAATCAATACAGCGGCACAATCTGAGCTCGGACCCAACACTAATTGTTTGGCTAACGTTAATTGTCATTAAAGTGTTGAACTAGTTCCTCACTGCCAGACCAACACACACACACACACACACACACTCTCAAGGCTATCTTGTTTATGTGCTTTACACCATCATTGCTGCACACTTTACTGCACACACACACACACCCCTCTAAATCAGACGTCTATAAGAGCGACGGGTCTATTTTAACGAGCTCTGGCTGGTGATGACATCAGAGCGCAAGCATTCAGAAACAGGTGAAACACAACTCACATAAACCAGCTTTACTAGTCCAGAGTCTGTGTGTGTGTGTGTGTGTGTGTGTGTGTGTGTGTGTGTGTGTGTGTGAGTGTGAG